TTCGAGGGTGATGGATGAATTTAATACCTGAGATAAGTGTACGGGTTTTTATACGCGCAGTCTTGAAACTTTCCGATCGCACCTCGTATAATACACACATTGCCTTTACCACGTAGAAAGATCGATTTCCTTTGGAAGCTGATTCTGTAACAGATCTTGAAGGATCGAGATATCTCGTCGCCATCACCTTGGTCGCCATATTTATAAGTGTTGTGTTAGGATTATTGAATGGATATATTTTGCAACTAAACTTAACTGTTATGGTAGAGATTAAATTCTCATTTTAAAGTTGTCATAGCCAAGCGTTTGATGGGGCCCAAGTTTCACGACGAAGGACTCGCGAAATCTCAGTCTTTCCATACAGGGGAAAGGAAAATAGTTTAAAAATTCGTGGAATACTTGACCGCCTAATGTGGCCCGTACATATTTCGCCACCCCTTAGGATCTGAGTCCTTTTGTTTATTTTCCCAGGGTGTAAAAAAAATGATGGCCGAGGGGTTGACATGTTCCGTTGCCACGGAGTTCTACACTTTAAAGCCACTTCATCGAACAAACATGGCGTGGTGTCATACAAACGCGAAAATCAATACCAGAGGGTGAATTGCAATTACAATTTTTTTTTTTTTGGACAGTAACGAATCTGTTTGAAGCTAATTGTGATGACTGAATTTGGTACAGGTACAGAGTTCGTGGAAATTCCTTCAAAATCAACTACAATTTTCGAAGTAAATAAATATCGAATGCTCAAAGAAGACACTGTAATGTTAACCCTTCAGAGACGAGTGGTAACTATATGTAACATCTGCTTTAAAATTAGTAAAGTTGAATTTTGTATTTATGGCTTTCGTGTGAATCTCAATCCAAATATGCATTATTTTGCTTCAATAACATTAATTAACCGATCCTCGTAATAGACGAGGGTGGTGTTTTCTTTGAGGTACGGAATATATTCTTAAATATTATTCGGACGACACGAGTGTCCTTCTAGGACGAAACCCTCCTTGCAGGATTCCCCTGTTCTTTATAACATACCAAACTGAAATTGCGAGAATGGATAAATCAACCGCTTTGCATCAAAATCGGCATGGCTATTTTTTTTTTGAAATGAGAAAGGAATTGTATAGAAATCAAAACCACGAAAAAGTGTCCTGTGCTCGAAACCCGATGAGCATTGCTCGTTTCAGCTCGGAACCTAAGAGCGACAGAATAGCTAAGCGAAGACCAAAATTGTTTGTTTCGGTGAAGGGGTTACATGAACTAAGGTTACAAAACTGTTAATTGTCCTGGGTTCGAGTACTGGTGAATATGTTGTGTTCGTGGGTGATTAAAGTATTTTTGTAAAATGGGGGGTTTTCACAGCGGTGATTATGAAGATTTCTGTCTTCTGGGTTGTTGCGCTGCGTAGTCTGGTCGATGTTAACCGACGTTTCAGAGGCCATACTGCCTCCGTCATCAGGGTATGAAGATTTCTGTCTTCTGGGTTGTTGCGCTGCGTAGTCTGGTCGATGTTAACCGACGTTTCAGAGGCCATACTGCCTCCGTCATCAGGGTATGAAGATTTCTGTCTTCTGGGTTGTTGCGCTGCGTAGTCTGGTCGATGTTAACCGACGTTTCAGAGGCCATACTGCCTCCGTCATCAGGGTATGAAGATTTCTGTCTTCTGGGTTGTTGCGCTGCGTAGTCTGGTCGATGTTAACCGACGTTTCAGAGGCCATACTGCCTCCGTCATCAGGGTATGAAGATTTCTGTCTTCTGGGTTGTTGCGCTGCGTAGTCTGGTCGATGTTAACCGACGTTTCAGAGGCCATACTGCCTCCGTCATCAGGGTATGAAGATTTCTGTCTTCTGGGTTGTTGCGCTGCGTAGTCTGGTCGATGTTAACCGACGTTTCAGAGGTCATACTGCCTCCATCATCAGGGCGATGAATAATAATGCTCAGCGATTTTGGGCTGTAAGAAATGGTAAGAAATTTAAGCATTTTTTGAATATCCCCGCTAGTCAGTAAATTATTTAATCATTTATTAAGTTTATGCAGATATTTTCCTATATTCCTTAATTACCTCTTCATTACTGCATTCCTTATGGAATAAGAATAAATTCATTGCCGTATTTTACCTTCAAGTCTTTGTCTTGTCTTTTAAGAGGTTTACTTACAAAAAGGAATATCCTTCGCTGACGTGTCCTTTGATGAAGACTATAAACTGTTTTTGTTCTTAACGAACTGAAAGCAATGGAATGTTTTGTTGTCTGGTTGCATTTCTTTGTGAGCTTAACTGTTAAGTTCCTGCGGCTTAATACGTCGTCTTGAGCTGAGTACGTGTGTCCTTACGAATTTTTTATAACTTGAACATCACAATTTATAATTATAAAATTTATGATCTTAATTAACTGCTTATTTACCAAGCTAAATAGAACAATACGAGGGAGATAATTAAAATGTATGGCTTCCGCTCTTACAAAAAAAGAACCATGGGACATTCTTAAGCACCACTGATGACGTCATGTGTTATGGTCTATATACAGCTTCCAAGTCATCTGGCTTTTGAAAAGGGCGCCGAGTTACTGGCTAATTTAACTGCGTCTTTGTCAACTTCATAGGTTATGTAGCGTCCCTGAAAAGACGTTTGAAAATGACGAAGTGAGGAAGTGGCCGTGGTTTACTTTAAACCACTGTCCAAGCCTGTTCTTCGAAGGACTAAGTTAAGAGAACGAAAATCCCGAGAAGCGTTTGTTGATCGGCCTGGCTGAGATACGAACCCAGAATTCGCTGTAGGCGAAGTTTTAGTGCCAATATCCATAAGCCGACGTTTAGGAATTGTGTTAGTCTAGACAAAGAAAGTCGCGGTGTTTTAAGGAACAAATAGTTTGATTGCTGTGTTTACATGCCCCGGGCATTTCCGTCAACCACATGAGTCCATAAAACACTTTCACACGTTGTGTAATTAAGATACGTGTCTTCTAATGAGATCCTGTCATCTACACTTACGTTTTCATTATTAAAAAAAAAACCACTTCCGGAGTCAATAAGATTGAAATGTTTTTCTCGCCTTTCATACCCCGCGTGCTACATGTCTCGGCCATCCCATCCTCGATTATTTGTTCAGCTCAGTATTTTCGCGAAGAACATAAGATACAAAATTCGTCCTTGAGAAAAAAATTTTTTAAAAAAAATACGGCCGCAGTTATGGTTTTGTTTAGTTGTGCAAACAAAACACTAGCAGAAGGCGGTATTAGGTTCATACATTTGTTTAGACCGATGACGAAAAAGTGAATCAGAAAATTTCATTCTTAAATTTAGCTATGACCGGGATAAATTTTACGCTTTGAAGCTGTTCACGCCAAAAGCGTGTTGGATGGAACGATTACTAATTACACGAATCCATGTCTATTCCAGAATTATTCGTAAGAGTAAAATATTAGTTATTAATTATTTAATTCGAAATTTATTTAAATTTTATATCTGGAAGTTTTACTTATATTTGCCGAAACATTCAAATGTTGGTTAAAATGGATCAATAATAACGGAAAATTCCAACACGCGTTTATGCTCGTGGATTTTACTCGGTGGGGAATCTCAAAGGATTTCTTATTACCTTTGTTACGTTGGCCACTGTGGCCAGTTTCGTTATGTTGGCAAAAGCTTTGCGTACGTTTTATAAATTGTTTACCGACTATTTAACACGTTAAATTTTCGTCACTGTGTGCAATAACATTTTTTAAAATAATTTATTGTTGCATTTATTATATATATTTATTTATTATTAATTATAATGGTACAAAACACATTTTATAAATTAATTTCTTCAATATTCTGATCTTTGGAAATCGGAGTAGTGTTCGAAAAGTTACGTTGTTAATCAGCGCCACGACAGTCAGCTGTTTTAACGGAACCCTGAAACACTACACGGGATATCCTGTACCCAGTTTATATTAAAGTCATCGGATGTGAAGTTCTTTCCTGAGTAGGGCCAGAAAATAGTTCCCAGCAGACAGTACGCTTGACCGCCTAAGAATCTAAATGCCTGGTAGTTCAACGAGAGACAACATTTCGGAAAGTACGGTTTATTAAAATAAAATGTGCCAAACTCTGATTTGAAATGTTCTGTCTTTGAATACGTCCGTGACTAAGCGGAATAGTGCAAGCGAAATGAACAGAAAAGACACCCTGATGATGGTAGCAGGAAGGACCTCCGAAACGTTGATAAACTTCTACCAGACTGCACGGCGCTACAACCCAGAAGACCGCCATCTTTGCACTCGCCGCCGTGAGAACCTCAAATTTTACGTTTATACACATCTTATATCAACAAATTTATTAAAGAAAATAATTTTGCATTTTTTTACAAGGGTGTTAATTCTCAGATACACGAAAAAAAATACATACAAATTATTCCAATTTTTTGGCAGAAATATTCATTGCGAGACGCATGAAACAAAATTATTTTAATAAGAAACAATAAATACCCAATAAGTTTGTTATTTAAATACGTGGTTTCTGTTTCAGTTGATTACAGGTTCTTTTCGGTACTGCGTTCAATCGAGATTATATTTTAAATAATTTTACTGTATTAAGCAACAGTTAACGTATATGTTCTCATACTTTTGGTTATACATACGTAGATCCAGTTTTCGGTTTGAACAGGAAACATCGACTTTTCACATCGAGAGAACTCGATATCTTCTGAACGAATAGTAAAAATAAATAATGGACCATGGACGAAAGGGAAAATTTCGAAGGAAATGGACAAAGAATTCGAGCAGTAGTGGGAGAAAGATGAAAAATTGTGAGTGGAATCGGGTTTAGCGTCTGCGCAGTGGAAGGGGGAAACCTGCTGCTAGCTACGGCAGCCGACCGAGGGGAACATAACGAGGCAGGGAGGGGTGACAGCAGCTCTGGACTAACAAAGCTCATAGCGAATTCAAAAAAAAAACTCCCCCCAGAACCATTGCAGAAGCATCTAGTTGAGGAGGCTACCGTTGAAGACCGAACAGCCAGTTAGTAGTCGTTGCTTATCTCGAATCATGCACGAGTGACAATTGTTTGAAACAGAGAGGTTTTAAAACGTGATATCTGAATACAATTTCTGTGTGCTTCAGAGGGAAATAGATTAAAAGCTTAGTGTCGTCTTGTGTATGTGCCACAGCTTGTAATGGTGTGTGAATTTTCAGTGTGTTTCACGTAGACTTGGAACAGCGAGAAGAATACAGCTTTGCAGAACACTGTGTGGCTCGATACTTCTTGCAATCTTGGATCGTCAGTTGAGCAGGTAAGAGAATCCATTTGCTTCAGTTAAAAAGACCAAGAACTCAGGTCTAGTACAAAAAAAAAAGTGTGGTTATGATGTTAACCTAAACGTGAAAAGTAACAGGAAGGCCGCGTAGTAATAATGTACTGAAGGATCCGGTCGAGTGCTTCGAATCGAGAGTTGTAGCGTTCGATACTCCACCCAAAGTTTGAGTGTTATGATAAACATTTTATCAGCTCCACCGGACACTTGATAGGATAGTACCTTAAAATAGGCTACGGTTACTTCTGTGTCAGAACCAATTCATAATTCGTAGTGATTATAGTCGACTACAGTAACCAGTACAGTTGAGAAATTGTCAATAAATCATCAGCGTTAGCCTTGAACAAATTTCGAAGAATCAAAAAACGTTTTATTAGCCTTTATGTAATCGATAATACGTGCAATTGTAATATCAGAATACGCAATTCAGATATTTATTTGTCCTACGTATTGTATTGTTTTCCAGCTGCAGGTTTCGGATTCATGCTTCAGCTAGTAATGAATGCGTTACAGGACGTTTCACAAATATGTTGATTTATTATTGATAGTTCTGTTTATTATACATTTAATAGTGTGATAACGTTCTTTGTAGATTTTAATTTTCTTAAACGTTCCCAATCTAATTTGTTATCAATTGGAAGTACAGGGGGTGGGGGGATTCGTGAAAAGAATTTTTCCTTTACAAGTTTTGTGTTACTGTCCGACAATGTGACGTGAACAATCTGGTATAAAATTGATCGAAACTTGTTCTTACTGCAGACAGACCAAAATCTAGCACAAAGATCAGCTTTACAGTAACAATGAAATAAATATAAAGTATCAAAGATCCTGTAACAATGGGTTGATGCGATATAATTTAAACTGAAAGACAAGGTAATTCAAGGCTGTAGGACATTTCAAAGGGAAAGGTTATTGTAATAGATTAACGGGGGATTCTCGCTGAAAATTCATGGAAGTTATACTGTCTGAGCGGAGAATGTGAGTCGGACCTTAAAGCGGGTTACGTCATGTTTGAACACTTTCCTAAAATCATTGATTATACTTAAAATGTTCCTACTGTAGGAGCAATCAGCGTGAATACTAGTGGCCCGAATATTATACTAAAATCTATGTAAATTATTAAATATTAAATATACAAGCATTATATGAAACAACAGAAAGCAAGAAAATTAACGGAAAACTGAGAGTGAGACGATGTTTTTGTACCGTATAGTAGAACGGCTGTGCAAAAGTCGATCATCACATTAATCAAAGCGACATCGACGTAAATATATATATATATATATATAAGAGACGTTTATTAACATTTTCTCCTCCAGATGATCTCTCCAGCGGCATCTTTAAGCGCCGTATTAGAGAATTAAATCAGTAGGGAAGGATACGTCGTAGAATTTCCACACTTCATTGATCATGCCGTCCATTTATAGCTTATAGAAATCTTTTAGTTGAATAAAATTAATTTCTTCAGCATGTGCGATCACATTGATTTAAATTTTATTTTGAATCTCCCTCTGAAATTATTTGAACCCCTTGGAACATTTTATTTATTTATTTATTTGATGCTTTGTCTTATGGTCATTCATAGGCATAATATTTACATAACGAATGAATATCAGTCTGCATATATATTAAATCATACGAACTACCATAATTTATTATATAAAATGTATTTTAATTACCCAGACGTTTTTCCTTTTAAAAATATAAACACGTGTTTTTATTAAAGCTGTAAACACAGAGAAAAATGTCTGAAGGCTTCAGACCAAAGTAATTTTATTCTACAACTGGCCATTTCAGAAAATATTTGCCTTTAATTTGGGATTTATTTATAGTTTGTTTAACGACATTTTATCAAATACCTCAGATTATATAGATGACGGTGACTAATGCATTGCGAAGGATGTCGTGGCCTTATATAAGGTAGTGGACTGGTCTGGAGAGACTGAGGAAAAACACGATAGACCCTCAGCCAGGATACCCGGTCTGTAAATCGAGATTTGAACCCAGAACCTGTTCCAATATGGAGGAAACTGGCAGAGTTACGTACTAAATATATTCTACGTCATACAGTCTTATAATTCGTTTTGTTTTCTGCTAACAAAGCTGAACTGAAATAGAGAAATGTTTCGACTTTGTACTTCCTTAAAACGCCCAGACCTAAGTAATTAGGTCATTTGATATATGGATTGTTTAACTATCGCATTTAAAATTCAGATGTCTCAAGTACGAAGATAAAAGTGTAATTCTGTACATGTTCAGGTAGAACACGTGAAAGTAAGGGAACTTCCACTAATAGTAGAAGGCTTTCTCTTATAAATTTCTTCTTAAATGCACATTTGAACTTTTACCTTTCATCCATAAATGAATTATTTATTTTAATCCGTCTGATCACAATATTTAAAATTTCTTATAATTAAGATAATAAAATATCATTCATGTTCCATATCCATTGATCGATTTACATTTCGGAACATTTACACAACATGTTTCGGTTTTTATAAAACCATCATCAGGTGTAAAATATATCTAAGAACTTAAAACTCAATTATGATTTCTGTACCTAATACCAGTTTTCATCAAATTACGTAGAATATTTTCTACGATGAAACATGCGGACAGAAAACATTTTATGAGATTTTAAATCTGTATATTCCTAGAGTTTACAGCAAAAACAGACGATGAAACATGCGGACAGACACATTTTATGAGATGTTTAAATCTATATATTCCTAGAGTTTACAGCAAAAACAGGCTGACAGACGGAGAACTGATACAGTGTGTTGTTAGTCGATGGAAAATTACTAAAACACAAAATAAACAATTCACACGAGTGACGTGTGTGTGTGTGGGGGTTTCAGTTTAAACTCACAGACACGAAAGCTAGTTATAACCTGGCAAGAGACAATCCTCTGTAGTTATTACAGAAATGTGTTCTTTGTGTGTCATGTCACATGAAATCAACTGTTGACAACTAAACTTAATTTTACCCCTAAAATTTAATGGAATGAAAGTAAATTAATAAAAATCCATTAAGAATTTCCTGTGTCACAGGGAACTGTTATTGTAACACAAATATAATTACTCAAATTGCCCCCGAGGTTTTGTGACACTGTTAAGAAATATTTTTGAAAAAGGGGGGAATATATGATATGTTAATGTATTCTACTGTCAACTGTTGCAGAAACTAATGAACATATACCAGGATATTTGTGTTTATATTCTCTGAGCATGTACTGGAAATATTTTTTAGCGTACATCTTGAAATGTGACGGTCAAATGCGGCTGGCGATAAAATTCCATTCGATTCCGGACGGAATTTTAATTTTTTTATACGTAATAGTTATATAGGAATTTTGTTGTATTTACGATTTGCAGGAAGATGAGATTTCTAAAAAAAATCCTTAGTACACGTATTTGTCATTCATATTGATTGTCCCTTATAATAAAAACCAGCGTGCCACGATATGCTGGACAGAGCCCTGGACTCATCGGTTGTTGGTGTAATGTTATTTTGATGATATAGGTACCAACTGAGGATAAAATTTTATCATAAAAAGGATTGTTGTGTAGAACTACAAGGTTGTGATTTTTTTTTAAATGGGCGTGACACTTGATCGCTCTCCCTGAGGAAAACCATGGATTGAAGTTGCTTGTGAGAGGGTTGCGAGAAAAATAATGGTAGATAAGACAGGAGGTAGCAATATTCAGGAGAAAAAGAGGATAATAATGTACAACATTACGTCTTCTGTCGACTGGAGACCTAAATTGATTTAAGCATAATATGAATTTTATATTTCGAATCAGTTTAAAGAATTCTGAAAATATGTTTCTTTGTGATTACTTCTGTGTCGGACGTGATCGTTGGTCCATGTCCGTAGAACTTCTTTTACCTGCTAGAAGATTCTTCAAGGGTTTCGTATTTTTAATAGACTATTGTTTTTATTGTGGGTACTAAAGTATATAGTGTTTCCCATTGCGTGACCTGAGAGCCTAGGAGAGACCTCGGTCACTGAAACCTTCCAAGACGCTTGGTCATCTGGCTTGAAAGTACGTTTGAACAGAACGTATGTTAAACTGATAGTGACTGCATATTGTATAATAATAATGCAATAATAAAAGCAAGTTTACGCATGTTTACCGTGGAGGATCGGTTGCACGAGCTCGAACGCTAGGCTAAATCGATATCACTGAACTGACGCAGGACTTCTGTAATCAACGAAGTTAATATTAAACATCTTTACAACCAGTGTACTTACTTACTTACTTAGGATATTTAGGAGACCCGTTCTTCAGTGCCTTGAGCATCTGCGGGTCACAAATTTTCGTTGGCTAGATCAGTGGTATTCAACCTTTCTTGTTCGCGTACCCCCAGATATAATTTCTCTTCAACTTTGTACCCCCAAAGTTGTTGGTGAATAATTCAAGTTATACATAGTATATAATCTACATCTAAAATAAATTAAATAAATTACATTACTGATTATTCAGTGTTTATCTTCTTTTTTTAAATTTCGCGTACCCCAGGTTTAATACCACTGGGCTAGATCTATAGACATTTGGTACGACTCCTTGGACGAGGGATCGGTCCATCGCAAAGCCACTACCTGTACACATTACAGCACAACATAGAAAAACGCGGATAAACATACATTTCTTGAGTGGGATTCGAACCCAAGGTCCCAGCGACCGCGCGGCCACTGTGACGACACCAGTTTACGTAAAAATCAAATTCTTCGACGTAATAAATTGATTTTGAAATTGAGTGGATTTCACCCGCGGGAATAAGTCAACTGAACCCGGTTGTTGTCACAGCAAAAGACAAGGCCAAGCTCAGGATCAACTTACATCTCAGTTTTTAGGGTCGTTGCGTTTTGTTACTTTTCGTCTCCCCCTCCCCTCTCCTCCCCTCCCGCTGGGTGTCTTTGAATTTAACTGCAGTTTCCTTAGTCTTCCTTCCGAGCCAACTGTCCTTCCGCTGC